GGGTCTTTTCGAGGGGTAAGCTCAAGGCCATGGCCATGGGCTTGGAGTTTGGCTTGGGCCCGCTCAAGATCGTCAGATTTTGCTTTCAGTGCTCGTAGAGCTGAGCCTTCCGCAGCTGGTGCGTGGGCTTCAATCTGGTGAGTGACGAGCTGCGCCAAGGGTGCGTGGTAAGCGCGGGCTTGGGTTGTTTTGTTGGGGATTTCTCGTCCCTGCGCCCTGTGGAGTGCCTCTGCTGTAGCGTCGAGGTTGAGACGCTTGACCTGCAAATCCTGTAGGAGATGGGTAATAAAGACAGACTCGGCAACGCTGCGTGTCGGAATGAGACCACAGTATTTTCCGTGGCTCAAGGTTCGAGCCATAAAATCTGCAGTGCCGTGGTAAGCAAGTATCCACGGGAACACGTCGAAGATGGGCAACCCGGCGACGCCGGCTCGACGGGACCATTATTTATGAGGCTTACGCCTGACAGCCGGGCGCCGGCCTATTTGGGTTTGGGTATGTGCAGGGCTGGGTCCTGTCTCTCTCCCTCTCTCTCTCTCTCGCTCTCTTTGAGACTTGGTGGGGCCTATATTGAGCAAAGTTAAGCTATCTGGTGCGCATCTTGGCCCTAGGTTGGGCCAAGTTGAGCCCATGTGGTCTATGTTGGGCACATCTTGGGCCCAGGTTGAGCCTATGTTACTAGGTCGGCCTATGTTAGGCCTATGTTGGCCTATGTTGGGCCTATGTTGGCGTATGTTGGCCCCATGTTGGCCTATGTTGGCCCTATGTTGAGCCATCTTGGAGGCTATGTTGGGCATATGTTGGCTGTTGGCTATCTTGGGCCTATGTTGGGGATATGTTAGCCAACTTATGTGCCCAACACCCACGAAATGTCGATTAAGCCTGTCCGCGCTGCACGCATAACCGACACCACGGGCACCCTGTTAGGCGAAAGTCGTGGCCGCGAAGGCCACGAAACGCGGTAAAAAACGATGTTTTTGAACATTTTTCGAACATCCTGCGCAAGATACATATAAATCTGTCGACCGGATTCGGGCGGGAGTCGACACGGGGTCGACCGGGGGTATTCCCGCGGTCGACCAAAAGGGTCGGTGTGTGGTTGCAATGAAAAGGAACCAAGTGCGCAGGAACAACCGATGACAACCCACCTCATTATAAAAACATGGGCAACCTGAAACCCGATTTGAAAGTAGGTTGTGCGTGTACAAACTAAGGGCCGGGCAGTGTGCGCGCAAAAGAAGGAAAGAGATGAGGTGACAGGACATGAAGCAAGGGAAGACATGAAAGAAAAGAAGAGAAAAGAAGTGTGTAAAGGGGAAGGGATGAAAAGGGGAACCAAATGGAGGGGACCGAAACCGATGAAGCCAAACCTCATTACAACGACCTAGGAAAACCTGCCTAGTTTGAATACCCAAGCTCTCGACAGGTTCCAACGAACCTCAAAAGTACTTTGACCGCTGTGGTCACCTTGTGCCCTGCCAAAATGGCTGGCTGCTTTGACCGCTGCGGTCACGTAAAGGCATAAGCCAACTTGGAATTCAATAATCCGACAAGTCTTGGCAAATAACTTTGGCATAAGCCTCCTACGCCCGCTCTGGGCACGTACATCTCCGAGCAGGGGAGATAAAGACAGACACCCGTTCGACGGGTCCACGGGAGGCACTCTAGGGCTCATCCCGGACTGGCGCAAGGCCAGACACACTTATGGACCTATGGATATGCGTACTGACTGAGAGCGGTGCCACACGCTGGCCTAGGGTACCATTTGCTAAGGGTACAAGTAAGAACCACGGATCCTGGAGGTCTTCAAAAGGAGAAGGGGCCCAAAGCGGAAGAAACCAATCGACGATCACGGGTCGAACAAGATGACGGCGGTCCGTGCACATCTGCCGAACTCATTAGCCCTTTACGAGAAGATTGGAGTGAAAGCTTGTCAGCACCACAACCAAGCAGGTACGTCGGAGTGATCAGCTCCGATATCCTCCCAACTCATGAGCAGCTTCGTTGGCAGTAGACTCATGAGTGGGCTACTGCCCCCTGCTAAAAACAATTCAAAAAGAATCCCTGTGACTACAAGGGGCACACACACACACGCCCGCCACTTTTCAGGTCTGCCCCAAGAAGAGGTGTGCTCTGAGGCGAAAGGAGTGATCGGTGTGCGCAAAAGAAGAGTTCGCGAAAAGACATGAAGGCAGGACATGAAAATCCTTCGATCTATGTGGAGGTCAGGAAACCACATGACCTGGCGCGACCGATGAGCCAGACCTCATTTTACCAAGACCTGGGGCGCCTAAGAACTTAGTTTCACCATGTAAGTGCACGTGCGCGCTAAGGTCGGTGCCGATGTGTGCGCAGAAAAACCCGTAAGAGACTCCAAACAGAGTGAAAGATGAAAGCAGCAGTGAGGACACAGACTTTTCAGGTTAGCGTGGTCCATATGCGAGCGCGCAGATGTGGCGCGCAGGAATGCGTGCGTATGAGAGCGCAACGAGAGCGTACGTATTTGAAAGCGCAAAATCCAGTTGTACCACACATTGTTGAGGGCCAGAGGTCCAAAGGCTTCAGGTCAAGGGTTCTAAAGATCGAGAGAGAAATCTGGAGTGCTGGAGCGTGCGTATGAGAGATCTTAGAGCACGCGTATGGGGCGCAGCCATGAGAGCTCATGTACGGGAGCGCGTGCGCGAGAGAGCGCATTTGTTGAAATCGTTCTCAAGGTCCACAAAGTGCTGCGCCTGCCGCGAAACCCATTCTCTAAGGAGGGCAGCGCTTGCGACAATCCACGGTCCACAAAGTGCTGGGCCTGCAGCTTCAAGGCCTACAACTACACCTGCGCCGCAACGAAATCTGCGTTTCTAGAGGGCTAGGGTTCCAGACGTCCTGAAAGTGCTAGAGGCCCAGCCCAGTCTAGACATCGGCAGAACAATCTAGAGGTTGCGGGGGCTGTAGGTCTAGGTCTAGACGTCTAGCGTTTGAGAGGTATCAGAGGTCTTGATCCGGACGTCGAGGTCTTGAGATGCAGTGGGTCTTGAGCCACATGTCCAAAAAGGTCACGATTCACTGCGCCGAGGGCCGCCACCATGTCCAAGCTGCGCCTGCCACGAAATCTGTGCGTATTTTTTTTACCGCTCCGATCCAGCCCACACAAACTCCATTTTGGGCCACCAAAACGTGAGGTTTCCCTTGCGCCTCCCGCGAAAAGTCGCCGCCAAGTCCGAAAATGTGCGTGGCGCCCGCAACGAGGGCGAAATGCACTTTCAAGACCTTGAGGGGAACGAGTGTATTGGAAGAAGTTCCAAATTAGCCGGACACGCCGGTGAGAACCTCCGATCCCGGACTTAACGCCTACCGTAAGAACCCCTAGGGTGGCCACACTGTCTGGGGAAGAAATGAAATGAAAGGACATGAAAGCCGAAACACGTGTATGTATAGAATGGGAAGGTATGTGATCGCAGATGGTGGGAAACCAGATGGGAGGGACAAGCAATTCAAGACCCAGACCACCTTAGAGAAACCTGGGCGGCCTAGCCTGGTTAAGTGTGTGAAGCTAACTCTTGAGGCCTTGTCTGATCAAATTGAACGCCATTTTGATATCTTGAGTGTGTCCCTCTCGTCGTTCAGTGAGTGCCCGGAGTGAGCCCGAAGTAGTGCCCTCCATGGGCCCAGTTTAGCTGCAAATGTGAAGTGTTTGCGCGCAAGAAACGCCAGGAGTCCGTAGCGGACAGCAGGAACTAGGAACCACGTTGATAAAGACCTGACGACTCGGCGTATATTGGAGCAGGCTTTTATGCCAGGAGGCGCCCCGCAAGGTAGAGCAGACTGTAACGGTCCAAGCCTCGAAACCTTGAGTTTGAGTTCAAGTGAACTTGGCCGGACCCCTTGATCTTGAACTGGGTATAATGTATCATAAACATCTTCAAAGAGCTTCAAACAAGAACCAAAGTTCAAAGTAGTCTAAAAGTGAAAAGAGCTCAGAAGCTCAGTCCAACGTTGGGCGAGGAACGCGAAGATCAATCTGCAAAAAGTGGAATGAAACAGTTTTTGCTTTGCGTAGGTTCAATGAGACTGACGTTGCAGGTGAGCATCCGAAATTGTTTTGTTGGCAGCAAAACTGTGGACCCCCTGCGCCACCCTGCTCAAAAAGTAAAAGTGCAAAGAATCCGCCTACCAAACCAAAAGGCCCTGTTTGACTCCGGGTTTCACACACAATGCCTACAAACCCCCAAACTTGAAACTAAATGAACGTAGAAACTTAGGAATGACGGTGCAGAAACTTTTAGGTTATGGAGGCACAAAGACAGATGAAAGAGGAAGGACAACACAGGAGAGGAAGGAGGAGGAAAATCGAGAATGCAACGACAAGATCGTTTAGCCGGCCACCCAAAAGGCAGCAAAGGCGCAACAGTGACGACCGCCCAAAGACGGGGTAAACAAAAATTTATTAGGAAACTGAGCTGGTTCCAGAAGCACTTGGGTTGACGGGTCAAGGATGAAGTTGAAGCCTACTATACCCAATATCAGACAAACCTGACGGACAAGACCCAAATGACAGGAAGACAAGACCTGCTTCCCAAATGATCCGAGGCAATGGCAGATCACGCAACAGGAAAGTAAGCCGGGAAAGACAAGCTATGGGCAGAGGCAAAGACAGAGGAAACGGCTAGATGTACACGAATATGAGCATCCTGCCTAGAGAGTTTTGAAAATTAAATAGAGCTACGATCGCCCAGGTAGAATGATAGAAGGTGCAGGATCAAGCGTCCTTGACCCCTTCCCATTTGTGATCACAGCTGTATCGCCCACAATAGATCATAGATGATGTTGTGGCCCTTGCGCCTTGGGTCTGCGCATGTTCACACACAATCGCCCAATCTTTCTCTATCCCTGCGCTGGAGATAGCGTGTGCTTTTTTGAAGACCATCGCTTTGTTGGCTTTCAACAACTTGTACTGTACTTACACTACAGACAGAACACATGCAGATGATCCGGACAAGCGTTGGAAGGCTCTTTTGCCGCGATTGGTGCAAAGCCTTTGGCAGTTGCCCTGTGGCTTTGTGGATGCAGGACTCAAGGTGCTCGCTGCGAAACCAGCAGGACCAAAGGTCTATAGGTGCTTTACTTCGGCGCTCCAGTGGTCATACAAGTCCTCTCACATGCGCCCACCGCTTCGTGTGTTTGAGAGGACCAAAGGATACTGCTGGCTTTGTCCCTGCAACTACTGGGGACTCGTTGCTGCAGCTGTGCTGCACAGCCTGCCAACAAAAAGCTTTGTGGACTTTCCTGGAAGCAATCAATGGCATGGCAAACTCTTCCTGCCCTGTGCTTAGCTGTCTCAGAAGCCCAGCCATGTTTCAAGAAGCGCGGGCGCGGGACATTTGGCATTGGTTCTCAGGCCAGCGAGTATTGTCGTTGACTGGGCGACGTGGACGGGGCAAGTCCTCAGTAGCCGCGCTGGGTATGGTGGCTTTGCTCCAACGAAGGATATCTGTGGTGGTCACCGGGCCGGGATCCAACAGACTCTGAGCTTGAAGAGTTTTTGAAAGCAACTGTCGTGTAATGAACAGTTCTTGGGCGCTTGCGCGTACCCCGAATGACGTGAACGGGAATGATAGAGCTAATGAGGCTGTAAGAAGCTATATGAGTAGATGACACACTGCCCCTGGCCCAGCTATTGTCGAGGTATTCAAGGCATGTTCCGCTTTGCTGCCGATGTCTTGAAGGAGGCAAGGGTGACAGAGTTGAATTGCACTTGTACACAGCCAAGTTGGAATACTGCTTTGGAGGGCCTAGACGAATTGCAGATTGAAGTTTTGTGGCGACGTCCAAAAGCTGTGAGGCCCAGCCAGAACATGTCCAACTCCGAAGCCTGATGTCGGGAAGAGCGCGTTTCCTCGAAGCGGAGCGGGCTTATGGGAATGAGCGCAGCATACCTTTAACGCACGTTGCCGGGCTGGCCTGGCTGTTGTGACGTTCACAAATCGCCCCAAAGTCATGTCTTTTTGTGAAGAGCAGCCCCTCTTTCTTGGAGAGCGCTCGCGTGAGAGCATAAACGGACACACGCGCACATGATAGCGCGCGTATGAGAGCACACAGAGAAAGCGCTAGTATGAAGCTTGCGTGTGAGCGGGAAGACACACTTAGATCATTGCTCGCAAGAGCTCTACCAGTTGCGGCGTCCACGTGAAGCTAGCGCTTTACGAGCGCTTTACGTTACTGAAAGCTAGACCTTGACTTGCAGAACGGAAAGGTGGCAACGTCCGCATCAACTGAATGTTTCAACAAAGACGAACTAGCGCTTTACGGGAGAATGAAGGTAACGGCGTGGTCAACAGTTCAACCAGAAGGGAAATTAAAAGGTAAGTGCAGGTGCGTGACTTCGGCGTCCCACAGTCATTTCACAACACGATGGATGGGCGATGCCTTCCACAGTGTTCATTGCCCCCTGCGAGTGATCTGTACAAGGTTTTGAAATTTTTGCACATGAAGACATGTTTTCCTTAGCGTGGCCAAATTCCTTAGATACAGGAATTGACGCGCGCAAAAAGCCGTCGTTCGGCGTCCCTGATCGCAACCGACTAAAAACAAAGGTGTAGCGGTGAGGTATGGGGACACTGCGCAGGACATGTGGTGTGACAATCATGAGATCACATGCTCGCAAAGCAGCAGGTCGGGTGGGGCGGATCAACGCGGCCTTGTTTCTAATCAGCCGAATATTGTGCCAAATCGGGCCCTTTTTGGGCATAGAGGTTTGCTAATTGAGCGAGCGCTTGCTCAATTGCCGATGTGGGATAGGTGTAGTGACGTATACGAGGTGCTCGGGAAGTGAGGCCGGAGAGGCGCAAACGGTGTGATCCTGCGGAAGCATGGTCTCGGATCTTTCATGGTGCATCCGGCGGAATGTATGTGATTGTACGTTGGGTGAGGTCCACATCGAAGCCGAGGAGGTGCATATCTTCGACAGGTTCCAGCTCCACTGGCTTGCCAAAGATTTTTGGATGCCGGTGTGGTTGAGGAAAATGTCATTGAAGGTGATGAATCGGTTGTCGACGTAGCGGCAGTAGGTGAAGTGAATTTGACTGTGGTCTGTGAGGCTGTGGTGTAGCTGGGCCCATGAGTGTTCGATGAGTGTGATAGGAAGATTGCGCGAGAGTTGGAAGCCAATCCCAGCTCCACGAGTCTCTTGGTAGAAGGTAGTGTAGCAGTAACAGTACTCCGGGTATTGTGCTGATCCGCGTCCATATGAGTCGCAGCCTGTACAGGGTCAATGTTAAGAGTGGATGGAAGATTCTCCATCGGACGTAGTGAGGCGGGCCACACGGCGAGTCGGTGCCAGCGTCGAGAATGCGTGCTGAGCGTCGACCATGTTGTCAGCTGTGGTGTCATGTGGAGAGGACGGGTCCTTAGAGCTGCTGATGTGTCCGCTGTGTTGACATGCTCAATGGACGGCGCTGCAACTTGGCCTGGGGATGGGCCGTGTTGTGATGCTTGAGGCCAGGCGCCGGTGTATCGCCGAGGGGTGCGAAGTCAGCGTGTGTCCGCTGCGTTGTCTCGCGCAATGGATGGTGCCCCTGTGTTGCCACTCCGCTCCCAGCACTGGAGTCGTTTGGCGATGAATGCCCAGCTGGGACGAAGCTTGCTGTTTGTCTTCATGTCCACCACGAGTTCTTCCTGCCATGCTTCCCAATGGTCCCAATTTTCCGAACCATCGGAATGGGTGTGCACGGGTGGGTTGGCCTTGGCAGGTGGGGGAAGAGGTGGATCTGAGGAATCACTGTCGGATCAGGAAGATGGTGGTGGTGGTATGGAGGGCGCGCCGATGATTCTGGCCTTGGGCAATGAAGTGCTCTCCTCGTCTGTGCTGGAGGTGAGTGGAAAAGCTGCGTGATGTGGTTGGAGTGGACAAGGTGGGTTCCCAAAGCCTGGCGGTCGGGGATATGCTGTCGGCGGTGGCAGTGGTGTTGGTGGATGGCCGCGAATGCTGGTGTTGTAGATCTCATCAAGTAGAGCGGCGGCTTTTCGGAGGTAGAAGGCAATCTGTACCAGGATGGCCGCAACTGGATTGTGAGGTGCCGATTGATAGATGGGTGCAGGAGGGCGACGTGTCATGGCGAATGGCAGATCTGAAATAGCGGATGAAGAGGCAAAAACGTGGATCAAGTGGCTCGCTGGAGAGAGAGTCGAGCAGTGCAGAAGATAGCGCTTGATCGTACATGAACGGCGGCTCCAAGTCCGATTGTGTCAAATCACATGGAAAAGACAAATTAAACGGCGTCGTCAACACATGTCCATATGCAATGATCAAATCAAGGCAACATGTTCAATTCAATGACTTCACGGCAAGCGCAATCAAACAAATTCAATTGCAAACTAAATCGCCCTGCAATGAATTAAGCTGAGCTGAAAATTTTTCTTCTGGCGTCTGCTTCAATTTTTCCTGATCAAAGGAATGAATCGGGCGGGCTTGCTGAACATTGCGAAGCAATCAATACCTCGAATGACGGCATTATCCGGGTGAATTATGAAACATTTGCCGCGGTCGAAGGAGGCGGTCACCTTCGGCTCCGCCCCCATGGGTGCATTTCTGACCAGTCCCGAAAGCCATCAGGCGCAAGAAAACCTTGGCGCGGTTCTTGTCGGATGGTTTTTGCTGGTCATTGTTGACATCTCCTGCAGTTCCATTCATCATACTTAACATCTCCTGTAGTCTCACACCCTTGGGCATAAAAACCAATGGCGTGGGGGTCGTGAAGTGTGCTGGGGCGAAACCGGCCACTCTGCAGGAGGCTGACTAGGTTGCTTTCTTCGGTGGCGTGTCCACAGAAGATATGTTTGACGCCGTGCTGAGTGTTTGTGGCTCGTCTACGGGAGGGAATGTTGGTGATCCTGGAACGGGTGTGAAGTTTTGGAACATAAAGGGTGAAGAGACTCACGTGTTTGTAGTCCTGCAGTGAATCCTTCCACTCACTGTGAGTCCAGTGTTGAATCTCCTGAAGATCTTGCGCTTGTATGCTCAGCAATCTCAAGCAAATGGCTGAGCCAGTGCGGTTCAAGCAAAACGAATATCCAGTGACTGTTCACCCTTGAGGGCCTGTGCAAGAAGCGCCCCCCGACGGGGATCACACAGCGCACCAGACCACAGTGGGACGATGCTGCGAAGCACACTTAGATCATTGCTCGCAAGAGCTCTATCAGTTGCGACTCCCACGTGAAGCTAGCGCTTTACGTTACTGAAAGCTAGACCCTGGCTTGCAGAACGGAAAGGTGGGAGAATGAGGGCAACAGCGTGGTCAACAGTTCAACCAGAAGGGAAATTAAAAGGTAGCGCAGGTACGTGGCTTGGGCGTCTTAAAGTCATTTCACAACACGATGGAAGGGTCTTTGTTGGGCAATGCCTTCCAAAGTGTTCATTGCCCCCCTGCGAGTGATCTGTACAAGGTTTGAATTATTGCGCATGAAGACATGTTTTCCTTAGCGTGGCCAAATTCCTTAGATACAGGAGTTGACGCACACACACACACACGCACTCAAAATCAAGTTTGCGCAATGTACGAACTGAAAGTCAAGGAAACCTAGGTGCAAAAAGGAACCTGAATACAACCAGCGCCGGGGTCCAAGAACCTATAAAAATACCTGAGAGAAGCATCTATATAAGTGACAGCAAACCAAGGGCCCACTGGAACTGCGTAGCAACACCGAGACCAAATCAAAGCAGGTACGAAAACGCCTGCGACTGACAAGCTTCTTTGTTCAGTTGTGACTCATCAGGCAATCGACAATCTTTTGCTCGTGATGACTTGGTGGTTTGTGTTTGGTCCGACTTGTGTGAGTTGCGCGCGGCGCGTGGTGTATGGATTCTGTCATTCTGTCATTTACATGTGGCAGGATATGTCACTATCAGTGCAGGAATCATCTTCTGTGGGTGGTGGTTCACATGGACTCTGATGTACGGGGACGCTGGGAGGATGATGCTGCTGCATTCTGCGCCCCCCAGGGTGCAGGTGAGTGTAAGGTATGGTTTGTTTGTTAGTGCTTGAGTGTAATGCAAAGTTACTAGAAAAAATCATAGTTATATAATATAGTTATATATTTCCAGCGAAAAGTAACTATTAGTACAGAAAGTTGAGATTTCCAGGGGGAAGTGCCAAAAAAGTGTGCTTTTCCTGCCCAAATAGAGATTTGTAGAGATGAAGCAATACCGGTTTCTGTAGAAATAAAAGAAAGACGCATGACGCGCGAAATCAACACTGACAATGCGAAGAGGTTCTGTTAGATGTTTGCTTGACCGACAGGTCATGACTTCGCCGCAGTGGCCCGAGCTGTGCAAAGGTGTGGGCGCGACCTTTTTCATTGGTTTTCGTTTCATGGTAGCGGAGCCAGCCAAAGTGCTGGCTCCCGCGGGGCAGCCGGGCGCGCGATGGCGTGGCACGTTGGTGACCACGATGATCCTGATGGTGATGACTAGCGCCGGCTGCCAGGACGACTTCCTCTTCGACCTGGAGCACATGGACTACGTGGACAACATGAGAAGGAGATCTACGAGGTGACGGACGACAGTGGCAGGTTTGCCACGAGGGATTGGAACTGTCAGCTGTCGAGATGGCCAGATTTGGACTTTTTAATGAACACCGGCCTGACAGAGTCCTTGGACTGCACTATGAGGTGGATTGGGACCACCGGTTTGAAGGTAAGAGCATGGATTGGAGCCATGCTAGAGGATGAAGCTGGGAGTCATGACCCAGCGGACTACCGCCTGAAGTATGACAACAAGAGCCTGGCTCGGCGCCTGGACCTGGACAGGTCGAGGATTGGCGCCTGGACCTTGACCGCTTGCAGAGCCAGAGTCTCCAAGACTATGGATACAGCTTGAACTACAGCGCGGACATTGTCTTGGCCATTGAC